GGCGGTGGTTGCGCTGATGCCGGCCGGCGGGGCGGCCGAGCCGACACCGCCTGCGCCGCCGCCGGGCGCGGATGACCCGACATAGTAAGGCTGGATCGGCTGGACGGGCGCCCACTGGTTGGTGCCGGGCGCCACGTCAGTGACGGTGGTGGCGTAGGAGCGGCACGCGGACGCCGCCGCCTGCGCAAAGTACTGGCGGAACGTCGCGGCGGAGCAGGAGCCAAAGCCAAACTCAGCGGCGCCGCCGCATGAGTCGAGGTTGGCGGCCGACTGGCAGGCGCCCATGGCGATGTTGGAGCACTGGGAGAGCGTGACGGGCCCGATGGCGCCGAAGGAGTTGGCGGTCTGGCCGGACGTCAGGAGCGTGGAGCAGCGGGACTTGGCAGTCTGGCAGGCCGACGCGCCGGCGGTCGGGCCGTATGCTTTGCCAGAATAGCGGCAGCTGTCGCCGTTGACTATGATGTTGTTGGGAGTGATTGGGATGTAGCCGCAGGAGGGCTGGCACGTGCGCCAGCACCAGCCTGAGAAAAGCTGCAGCAACCGTGGGGGTGGCGGGCGGGCGAGGGAGCCGTGCCAGGGTTGAGAGCGAGGAACGAGACAGGGAGTAAAGACCGGGCGCAGGGGCGGGGCCGTAATTTTCAAGATGCAGCTCAACGAGCTCCTTAGCCACTCACCGCTCCGTAGCTGGGGCATTGGGAGCAAGGGGTGCAGAAAATCGACGCCTGCGCGCCGGGCGCCAGCAGCAGTGCCATTGCCGCGGCGGCCAGCAGGAGCACGGGTGCGCGGCCGACCATGATGCTTCCTCACAATATATTAACAGGCTCCTATACAGCTGCAGTAGTTCACGGGGTCGTTGCTGACAAGTAGCGGCAGGTCACGCAAGACGAAAGGCAATAAGGCGTGCTGTCCAAAGGTGATTTTAGGTTTAAGCAACTTGTTGATGGCGTTGATTGCCGCACACGGCTTATAACCAAGTTCGCCGGGCTCCCGGTACAACATCACACTTTCAAAGAGTGGCACTCACTTCCTTCACACCGCCAGTGCCGGAAGCCTGTGTTGGTCATGGGAACTCGCTCGTAAGGACCAGCATGCAGGGCATCAGCTACCCCTTGCACTCTATCATGCAGTCGCAGGCAGCTGCCCCCGTTCGGCAGCAAGGGAGGGTCAGGCCAAGAGGAATTGAATGTGTTCGCCATCCACATGCCTGTCGCCGCATCCAACGCGCGTTGAGTGCGAATGCCCTACAACATTCGTGCCTCTTAGTCTTCTGTGTGCCTGTCATTGACAGGTGGGCCTGCGCTGACAATTGGCTCATCCCATCCACAAGTGCCAATCCCAACACCCTAGTGTCTTGTGCAAATGAGCAATTACCCCCCAAGATCCACCCCTCGCTTCGATACATGCGAAGCCAATCACGAGCAAGACATGTTACAGGACAGCAGGATTGATCAGCGCGGAGCATGCACTGTTGAGCGGGCTGGGGGACAAGCAGACCATGCAGTCCGCCGCTGTGCAAACTGCACACACACGCTTGCTCGTTATTAAGAGCCCTCTGTCCTGCCTCCAACGACCACCTCGCCAAACTCATCCGCCTGTGATTTGCTGCTGCTCATACTCTGCTGTGGCTGCCTGTGCGGCTGTCCGCCCTTGCAGCGGGTGCTGTGGCCCCCACAGCGCTTGGAATACCCGACAATTGATTATGGACCGTGGCCTAGAGTTAAGAGCGAGTTTCCATCAGGCACACGGCGTCAAGGCTAGGCGTCGCCACTCAGGGTCCTGCCTGTCGCCCTCCAGGGCAGCCGCCCCTGCATCACTGGCGTCGCGTCATGCCAGAGCGCAAAGTGCGGCTTCACACGTAGGCTGTTTTTGTGTTTATGTTATCGTGCTACGACGGTTTTGTGTCTTTATCGTGTGATAGCTTGGGGGCCCGCAAAGCCACGTGATCGTGTTGAAAGGTTGCTGTGTGTGTTGCACATGCAGGGGTGCTGCAACTCACGCAGGCAGCTGTGCATAACGCAACAAGCGTTGGACAGACACAACGCTTGCTCCTCATCAACTGCTAAAACACACAGTTTGTGGACGTTTTCACCCAGTGGCTGAAGCGGGTCACAGCCTGCCCTGAAATCGCGGCTTGACGGGCGTAATCTGCTGCTGCCTGGCCAATGGTGTTGCGCGGCCTTCCGCCCGCGTCATGCAGTCAACTTTTGATCGCCCAGCCTCCCATGAGCAGGTGCTAGGCTTGTACCCCCTCGAGCTTGCATTTGCTTGTCGTCGACAATTGTTACGTGAAGAAGAACGCCGTGATGCCGTAATCAAACTTCGTCACTGCCCGCACTGCTCTCTTGTCGAACCACGTCTCAGCGCGCATGGGCATGCGAATCGCGTCAAACAACTTGCTTTGAAAATGGCCCCGCCTTGCCGGCCGCGGCAGTGACCACAGCGCACCTGCGCCCGCGACGCCACCGACCCCCGTCGCTGCTCGTGCTGCAACGGCGGCCGCAGCAGCACACCGCAACCGCAATGAATGCGGAGATCGCCAGCCTGGAGGGCATGGTGGCGCGCCGCCTCGGCGAGCTGCAGGCGCTGCAGCAGGCCAACGAGGTGGGGATTAGGGCCGCCTTCGTGCGGCCCGATGCTCAATCCCGCAGCCGCGGGGATCTCCAGCCCCGCCACGACCCCCCAGCTCCAGCGAAAAATGCGCGCCCCTCTTGATCAAGAGAAATCACCGAAGTCGCATGCATGCAGTGAGGAGCACGCCGTTGATTGAACCACGCCGCCGCCGCGGGTTCAAGGCAGCGCGGAGCTTCGGGCGCGAGCGCCGCCGCGCATGAGTGCACTCATGCGTGTACCCCTCAAACTCCCCCAAACCATGCCTTGGTCACACCCTCTCCCCTCCTCTCCCCCCGCCCTCCTGCGCCCATGCTGACGCCGCCAGGCTTTGAGGGTCCGCTGTGTCACCCTGCAGCATGTCGCGCGGGTATTGAAAGAGATCCGCGCCCACAGGGAGGCATTAGGGGAGGCTGGCGCGGACGAGGAGATCGCGCAGCTGGAAAGCCTCCTGTCCTGCGCCGCCGCCCGCGCCGGCGGCGCCGCGACCGGCGGCGCCGCGGCCGACGGCGCGGGCG